CACATGGAAGAAGAGCATTGAGCTGCCAGACATGGTAAAGAAGATTTCTTAGATTTTCCAGGCCAACCAGCCTCTAGCTGAAGGCAACCATGTTCATGATGCCAACTGACACTACATAGAGCACAACTGCCTGTCCAAGCCCTTCCATAACTGTTCCCTCAAAGAATCATGAAAAGGAGTAAAACTATTGTTATTTGAGTGCTTACGTTTTGGACTCGCTTATTACACACCAATAGATAACTGAAATACTATCATTAAACAACAAAAAAAAGTTTCGGTCATAGTAAGATAGCTATCCTCAGTTTGATCACCTTCCTGATCTACCCCTTCCCCAATCCTCACAAGTTCATGGTGTCTCTTTATTGAATATTTAGTGGTTGAGCCCAATGACTCTGTGATAGTGGAAAACTAAATATTACCTAAACCAACCCAAGACTTTCAAAATGTAATTTGAAATATGTTCTTCTGTATGCTTATATATATATGAAGTTCTGAAACTGAAAGCATTATGTATTCTAAATGGCCTCTTGAATATAAAATTTATTTATCAAACAGAAAAAAAGTGCTTGAGACTAGGCTTACCTAAAGAACCACCCAAGATCCCTTAGAAAAGTGTCACTTGATTAAAATATTGGATTTAATGTTCCTGGACACTTACTCACAACATATCTTAATCTTGCTATTATTTGTAATATTTAAAAAGTGATATTATTATTCTGACTGCCTTAATCAGATACTGGTAAATAAATACTTTATTTAGTCACAAAGGTAACTTCAAGCTATTTTATTGTCTGAAATTATTGAATTATGTGCAGACTTGATTCATTTAAGGTAAATCATCTCCAAATGGTTAGCAGGTTAGAAAAAAGGCAGGTGCTCAGAGAACATGTTTTGGACACTCATTCAAATGTCTTCTGTCAGCTGTTTTCCCCTAATTAAACAGCTAGTCCTTTCCTTGCTATTACATACGTTTATTTTATAAGCTGTGCCGACATAGAGCAGGTTATGTGGCTAAATTGATATAGCCATCCATAGAGGTTAAGCAATGCTGCAGCTCCCTATTTTCTTCAATTTCCTGAGGACATTTTGAAGGTGAGCATATGGCAATGCTGGCACTTCTGACTTATCTTGGGGCGGAAGAGTTAGGCCCAACCGAGCGAATTTTCCACTGATGTAGCTACAGCCTGAAGAACTGCTCAGCGCAGTTTGTTTGGGATTTCTGTGTGAGCTGAAACAGCACCTGCGCGATGAGGTAAATGGTCTTTGTCCTTATAAGGATATATGCTCTTTCAGACAAGCTGATTCTTTTTGGCCATGCTATTTTGTAAATAAATGCTTCTGAAATAAAACGGACAATGACAATTTAATTTACAAACTGAGGTCTTCTTGAATCTTGTGGAATAATAAAATCTCAGAGATAAAAACTCAGTGATTGCCCTGGCCGGTTTGGCTCACTGGATAGAGCGTCGGCCAGGGGGCTGAAAGGTCCCAGGTTCGATTCCGGTCAAGGGCATGTACCTTGGTTGCATTCCCAGTAGGGGTGTGCAGGAGGCAGCTGATTGATGCTTCTCTCTCATCGATGTTTCTAGCTCTCTATCCCTCTCCCTTCCTCTCTGTAAAAAATCAATAAAATATATATATTTTTAAAAAACACACACACAAAAAAACAAAAGCTCAATGATTAATTCAGTATAATCTCTACCCAGTCATCCATCTCCTTGCCAGCAAGGAGCATTACCTCCCAGGTCTAGCACAGTGGCTAAGCACACAGTCAACATTCAAATAATTTTTACTGGATCACAGACTTGGTGAATAATGGCTGCTTATACACTTTAGTAAATAAAATTCATCTTTAATTTTTAACACATTCCAAAGTCATTTATGTTATCTCAATACATTTTAATACATATAAATTTTTATTAAAAATTCTTTAAAATAAAAGCTTAAAGAAATAGACATGTCATGATGCATGGTATTTATTAAGCTATTAAAAGTTACTTTTAAACATTGCAATTCTTTATTGTGCTGACTACATTAACAGAGTTTGAATATACTTTAAAAGTTTTGTCACCTAAAGCTTACGTCAACATAATGAACTTATGAGTGCTGAATATATAGGGAACTCTCAAGACTCAAGAATAATAAAACAATTCAGTAAAAATGAGCAAAAGATTTGAACTGACACTTCATGAACGAAGATCTACAGATAGCAAATAAGCACATGAAAATATGCTTGCCATTAGTTATTAACCCACAGTGGGACCCAGATGACAACATCATTAGTCATTAACCTACTTCTACACACCTATTAGATTGGCTAAAATTTATTTACCTATTTCCCCTTGTATTGAATTTATTGGGGTGATACTGGTTAACAAAATTATACAGATTTCAGATGCACAATTGAACAGCACATCATCTGTACACTCTTTTGTGTGTTCACCAACCTAAGTCAGGTCTTTTCATCACCATTTATCTCTCTCCCCCCCCCCCCCCCCCATCCTCCATTGGCTAAAATTTAAACAAGTAATATGATAAGTGTTAGTATGGATGTAAAACAACTAGAACTCATATAATGTTGTGGGAATGGAAAGTAGTACAACTATTTTGGTGCAATTTAGTAGTTTCTTAAAAAGTTAAATATTCATATTTCATATGACCCAGCTATTCCACTCCTAGATATTTACCCAAAAGTAATGAAAGCATATGTCCACATAAAAAGTCTACATAAATGTTCATAGCTATTTTATTTGTAGTAGCCCAAACCTGGAAACAAGTTAATGTCCAGCAATGCAGGAATGAATAAAAAATTCGTGGCACATCTGTACAACGGAATACTAGCAGGCAATGAAAAGGAATTAACTACTGATGAACTCAACAGCATGGGAGAATCTCAAAAGAATTTTGCTCAGAAGAAGCTATAGAAAAAAATAGTACATGCTGTAGGATTCCATATGCCATATATATATATATATATATATATATATATATATATATATGTATTTAGAAATGCAAACTTATCTACAGTTATATAAAGAATATCAATGGTTGCCTGGAGGGATTTTTTAGTGGTAAAGGGAGGACAGATTACAGAAGGAACATGAGAAAACTTTTGGGCTGATGGAATGGGTTATTATCTTGATTGAGATAGCTCCACAGGAAAATATAGGCATCAAAATTTATCAAGTGGTACAACTGAATTATGGGCAGTTTATTATATATCAGTTACAAATGAATAAAGTGGAAAACTTAAGTAAAGGTCTTATGGATTGAATATTATTTTCAAGTCCTCAACTTTTATTTCTTCAGTAGGCTTCTATAAAATAAAAGTCTGGTGAGCTTAAGGAAATACAGTAGGTCTCTTCTCCCAATTTAATTTTGGGCAAAATAATAGAAATGTATGGAGTTTTAGGACATTCCCAAATAGTAATAAACTACAGTTTAATCTGTAATAGGGAAAGAGGAGGAGAAACAGAGAACTTCTGGACTTCAGGTGTGACAAGTGGTGGGTGGGAAGAGCAGGAAAGGAAACCAAGAATAAAATCTGAAAGGATACCTGGCCAGGAGTGATGACAAAACTGTGCCATCACATCTTGACCCACACGTCTATAGATTCGCTAAGGCAAGTGGCTCCAAGTGGGTTAAAATGTTACAACTTATGGCAGGTCCTCAGTCAGGAAAATTGTTCCTCCCTGAGTTAGTCCTACCAGCCGCAAACTCCGTGGTGGGCGCACTAAATGAAGGCGGACAGGATACCTCCCTCTACTCCCCTAATTTGCAGTAGGGTGCATCCCTTCCCGTTCTTGGTCGCCCCTGGTGGCGAGCACCCGGGACCTGCGGGCGCACGGGCGAGGCTGGCGGAAAGGTGCGGGCAATAAAGGTCCCTGACATGGAGGTGAGCGGCTGGTACCTCCCGGTGCTTTCGCCGCTTCTGTGTCCTGGCACCAGCCTGGCTGCCCTGGAACCCGGTTACCCACACGCAGCGCTCACTCTGGCTCCTCCGCTTCTATCCGTCCTGTTCCATTCAGGTGTTGCCGCCGGGATTCTGGGTGACCTCCGGATTTCAGGACAGAACTTACATGCATTTGGAAAGGAGGGGGCGCAGAAGAGCTCCGACTGGAGAAGAACTGTCACCATTAGACCTCCACGTTCCGAAGAAATGGGGGAAGAATTCGGAAACTAGGTGGGTCCCTTAAATCCCCAACACCCCCCACCCCTTAGAGTCCAACCGGCTCCCACCGTGTCCCACCTATCGATCTGTCACTTTCCCACCTCTTCCAGAAGGTCGGAGATCGGCCTCACGTCCCATCGTCACCCAACCCTCAAGTGGCAGAGGGTGGGCAGTCCCGCCGCGGACCCGGTTCCTCTGCAGAGGGCAGCGTGGGAGGGACCTCGGAGGCTCGGGGAGACGTGAGGGCCAGCGCGGGGTGGGGAGGGGTGGACTTGTGATAGAGGCGTTCGGCACCCGCAGGGGCGCCCACACCTCCAGCTTCCATCCCAGGCGAGGAAACTGCGTGACATTCCCGTCCACACCTGATTGACAGGAGGGAGTCACGGCCCAGGAAGCGGGTGTGGGTGTGTAGAGGCGGAGACAAAACCTCCACCGCACGCGCAGCGGGCCGGGGCTGGCGCTCCTAGACGGTCTGGAGCCGGGGCCACTATCCCCCCAGGTGCCCGGAGGCTTCGCGGAGCCAGAAGAGGCTGACGGAGCGTCCCCCCGCGGGGGCTGCTGCCTGCAAGAAGGGGGCAGGGACGCCGGCGGCCCCGGGCGTCACTTGCCCGGCAGCTTCGCCCTCCGCCGGGACTAACTCGCGGTTCCCTCGGGGCAGCGCGCGGAGATCGGCCAGCCTCCTCCCTCCTACTTGCAGCGAGCTGCCTCCGCCTCCCGCTGCCTCCACCCTCCACCTCTATCCCCGTCTGTCTGGAGCTGAGCTCAGAGACCTCAGTCGCCTCGAGCTCTGGAAGTGGGCGCCGGACAAGTCCACGGCGCCTCCCCGCAAGATGGACAGCCGCTACACCAGCACCGCGGGCATCGGGGACTTGAACCAGCTGAGCGCGGCCATCCCGGCGACGCGGGTGGAGGTGTCCGTCTCCTGCAGGTGAGCACGCAGCCTCTCCCCTCCCCCCTACACCCCCTCCTCCTGCCCTCCCCGCGCCCGGCTGGGAGCGCTTGGCAAGCGCCCGGGATACTCCGAGGCTTGGAGCGGGTGAGAAGTTGTCCGATGAGTGGCCAGCAGCCCAATTGTGGGTCTGGAGTCACCCCTGGGTCGAGCGGCCCCGGGCGGATAGCGGGAACTAGAAGCGAGCGGGGGGCTACGGGACGGAGACTTCTTGTTTTCTTCCTGGGGAAATGCTGTAAAAGTTGGCTGGGCTGTGACTCAGCGGGGAAAACTCCTGCCGCCGCCCACTTTGCAAGCCCTTTTTACGTCCCAAACCCGAGCGGTACGCCTGGGTGATGACGGGAATCGAAGGGGACAGCGTTGCCAAAAGCGCTCGTGACCGCGGCGCGCGGTGACCCGGGACTCCCCCAGCTAGGCGTCTGCAGCCCTGCTATTGACCCGGTTGGCTCCAACCTCTGCGGCTTCCTCCCCACCCACTTCCTGGAGCCCTCGGGTTCGCCTGTCCCTCCTCCTCCCCTCCCCTTCCCTCCACACACCCGCACACACACTTTTCCGGGCTCTGCGCCTGCCTCATGCCTGATAGGTAGAGATTTCGGCTCCAGCCCAGTGGTTGCAGAAGAATCTGTGTCTTACTTAAAAGCTGGGAAGTCACGATTTTCTAACAGCAAATAGACACATTGTGCTTATAACAATCGACACCCTTGCCCAAGGTTCCGTAAATATCAGATTCCTTTGCCTTGTGTTCTTTGGGTCAGTTTCCCCGTAAACAAAGCAGCCCAGTTGCTCTATCGCCGATTTTGAGGAAATGGGCGGGGTAAGACTAAACTGATTTTAGCAAAAGGAGGGGGAGGATTTGCCAGTTATAATTCACTGCCTTGTTGGCACATTTTGATCTCGTTGGAAAACTCTCTTCTCACGTGTCCACCTGCCTCCCCAAGATTGTTTTTTCATGCCTTGAAATCCTCCCCTTCCTTTCCTGGGTAAAACTCGCCTTAAAGAAATCTAATAAACCTGGGGGATCTCCCACGTAAATAAGACCTGGAGCTTAAAGTGCTGTCAACCTAGTGGTACTTGATTTTGCATTTTTACAAGACAAAGTCTAAAGCCAAAGGAATGATTTTTCTTGCGGATGGGGGTAGATGGGGGGGGGGGGTGTGGAGGGGAAAAGGAATTTCAAGCACCAACCCAGGACTGAGGTGTTAATTAGCTATCTCTGAAACGATGTATAATCCTTGATTGCTTGATTCCTCTCACTGCTGACCTCAAACTGTGGAAACAATAATGCTGCTAATGATAGCTAAGCATTAGCCTCTTGTCTTATGGTGTGGCCACAGTTTTAAGTGCTTCCACACATTTCTTTCTGTCAATTGAACAGGTGAAACTTTATGGAAAACTCTTTTTAAATATTAATTTCTAAGCCTTAATTTTTCTCTCTGAAGTTGGTTTTGGATGCTAGAGGGAGGTTATTAATACATACAGATACTGCAGAGTCAAAAGTCCTACATTAACAGCATTTTCTAGAGCTCGTACCCTCTGCCGAACATCCTATAAAATCTGAATGCCATGTGGCCTGTACATGGAATGGATATAAACATATTGTAAATTAAATCTGAATTTCCCATAAACTCTTTAGGGTGATTATACCTTTAGAGAAATTATACCTTAACTGGTCTTTCTGCCAATAGGGTCCATGTTTAACCACTCTGGGTTATTATTATTGTTGTGTTTTTCCCCGTGGATGCTTGTTTGCTGTGAGTGTGCTGGGAATCCTGAAGTCTGTTAGCTTTAAGGCAGTTTGCTTCAGCTTGCTACCTCAGACCCGGAAATGCCCTTGTTCCAGCCTTTTTTCAGATCACTGATTTGGTGTCTTGGTTTTAATTTTTCAAATAGAAGAAAAAAAGTTCTGAACGAGACCCAAGTACTTACATTGTTAAGAATTGAATCTTGTAATCATAGATGGTGGTGTCCTTTGGGCTTTGGCATAAGAAACCTAGTTACACATTCTGGCTTTGTGACTTTCTTATGTTGTTAACTTGGGGCAAGGTCTTACCTCATCTGCTAGTAAGCTTCCTTGTCTTTAAAATGAGGATAAATTATGGTATTTATCATATATTAGTAGAGTGTTGTCAGGAGTTTTTAATAAGATGATGACTGAAAAGTGCTTACACATTATGACACAAAGAAAGTGCTAAAATGTTAAGTTGTTATGACACTGGCAATAGTATTTATTGAGTAAGTGTATTATATGATTCACCTGTAATTAGTCCTCTTTCGAAGTTCAATAAATTGGTTAAAGAAGACAAGGATAGAAACAGCTTTGAGATACCTGTTCCTTCTTTTTCTTTGTTCTTTGGTGTGCATAAAAAGCATATATCCTAGAATGCTTATGGGGATTTCAGGGCACAGTTGTAGGCCCCTAAGCCTTACCATGTGCAAACAGAGCAAAACATTCCCTTACCCTTTTCATCAGAGCCCTCTGGTGACTTGCTGACACTTAAGCAACTCAATAAAACCCCTTTTGATAACCTCTTTTCACTGTCTCTAATCCAAGACTTTTAAAAACTTGATAATATTTTCATCTTCATTTTGGGGGAGGTGAGAAAATCAATTGAAGCTAAATATAATTCCTGGAAATCATTTTGTGTGTTCACTGTCTAAGTATTTGAGTGTCTTTTATGTGTCTGGCATTACGCCATGCTCCATGAGGTGTGCAAGAGAAGTTCTCTGAAAATGTAAAATTAAATCCAATGATGAGGTTCATGCACAGGGAGGGGACAGGCCACTGTGGAATGGAGTGTTTGGAATACACTACAAAGAGGAGATGGGACTTGAGGGGAGACAAAACAGATGGGCATAGTTTGCTTTAGAGAAGGGACTGTATCCATGGCGGTTTTGTAGGGCTACAAAATTTGTGCGTTAGGATGACAAGCATACCTTTCTTGCTGGGTTTATGTAGAAATAAACTCCTGCTCTTTTGACATTTTTTCTACCCATTATTTAGCTCTTGGATTCATTTTTCTTCATGATGTTAATTCATAGATTTTTATGTTAATTGGGTTACCTAATTAAAATGTCTGTAGCTATAATGATACAACATCAGAAACAGAAAATAATGTCTATAATATTCCCATTTTATTCTGAAAACAGGTGAATTAGAATGAGATAAAGCAGAAGCAAAAAATATCTACATATATATAAAAGCCTAAGCAACTGGTCGACCGATCCCCGCAGGGCCAAAACCAGCAGTCTGACATCTCTCAAGGGGTCCTGGATTGCGAGAGGGCGCAGACCAGGCTGAGGGACCCCAGCAGTGCACAAATCCGGGCACCAGGCCTCTAGTACAGTAATGTTTTCCCTGGGACTTTTGTTTGTTGCACATTTCTAACACATCCTTTTGGTGATTTTTGTCACTTTCTCTGATTGAGAAGTTAGCAATTACAAACGCATTGAGAGAATTCTGTATTTGTAGGCTTTGTAGGTTAGCTATCCTATGTAAATCCTTTCTCAGCAATAATCCTAGAACGGTGGTAAAATTAATTTTAAACATTAATGTCTAAGGAAGGGTATAAAGTGGGACTTTATTGAGCACTTACTTTGTGCTAGGCATTCTAAAATGTCCTTCTTGACCTGACCATAACTCTTTTGTCTAATCTCCCAGCACTCCGCTTATGTGCTCCGACTGAACATAGTCTAACAAATATGTGTCAAAATGTGTTCCAGCCCTAGCCTGTTTGGCTCAGTGGATAGAGTGTAGGCCTGTGGACCTAAGGGTCCTGGATTTGATTCCAGGCAAGGGCACATACTGCGCAGTTGCAGGCTCCTGCCCAGCCGGCCTGGTCGGGGTGCATGCAGGAGGCAACCAATCGATGCGTTTCTCTCACATCGATATTTCTCTGCCTTTCCCTCTCTCTTCCACTCTCTCTAAAAACCAATGAAAAAAATATCCTTGAGTGAGGATTAAAAAAAAAAAAATGTGTTCCAGATAAATGTGGCTGCAAAACACAAATAAGAGGTACAGTCCCAAAGCATGTGCTGTTATCTTAGTGGACCAAATTCTTTTGCCTACCTGGCCATGGACATGCTGCTCTCTCAGCCCTGAATGTCCCTGACTCCCTTCCCATTCTTTTCTTGATTAGCTTGTCCTCTTTCAAGACTCAGGTCAAATATCATTTTCTCTTATGACTCCCAAGCTGGATTTTGCTGTCTTCCCACAGCAGCTGGTATGTAGCAATATCATAGTGTTGGTGGAGGAAAAATTTTCCTCTACCCTTCAAGGTTCTTCTGGCTGGTGTACATCGTTTTCAGAACTTTTCCCAAAACTGCTGTTTCTTAAAATTAACCAGCCTAAAATAATCAATATCCCGAAAGAGGTATATTTTGGAGTGGCCAACTTATCTCCGCTTCAGTAGTTGCATCATAATTCTTAGTCTTTGTATTCTTCTTAAGGACAAGTTTTCTCTCTTTTGTGTCCATGTTGTTGAGGTAAGAACATCCACACCTGTAAAGAATTTTTATAAGAATTTATTTGAGCCAAACAGAGGCTATGCCTGGAAGCAAGAACTCAACAGAATGAGAAAAATGTCTCTCAGAATGGCAGTCTGCAGTTTCTTTTATGCATTTGGAATTAAGGAAGGGACATAAGGAAGATTACATGAAAGTGGGAGAAAGCAAGGGGAAACTGGATTACAGGATAGCTAAGATTCTGTGCTCTCTCTTGAGGGTGGTTATATTTCCTAGGGGTCTGAAAAAGGCATTTCAAAGGTGTGTCAAGCTAGATGCACAGAAACAATGGACAGGGCTTGTTTAAGGAAACGATAAACCTTTTAGTAGAGAATTTGTATTTATTCCTGGGGTGTGACTCTACACCGTGACCTACCTAGTTAGGAATCTATGATTGGATTACTCTGTAAGGTTACTTTCTATCACTGGATTTGTCAGTTTTATTACAGAACCTGTTTTTCATCCATAATATGTATATT